GTAATTTGTATAATCAGAATCTCATTAGTGATTTTCTCCGAGTTTACTTTAATGAAATTGTATCCCAAGAAACATAGAGCATGGAATACTTGGAACTGAAAAACTAAGGGGGAAAAGCAAACAATCAGTCAGCAAGGAGGAAAAAAAAGGAACATTAATTTAAAAGTTGCTGTGGAAGAACAGGGAACTGTAATAGAAAAAGTGATGAGTTTATTATTGAGAAAGTATAAATGTGCAGTAGCAGTAAGGAGGTCAAATCTTGGACCTACAGAGAGTAAAATTTAGAGAAACTGCTCTTCTCCTGTTTTGTAAAACACCATCATTATGGATACATTCCCATATTTTTCTCCCTCTTTCAACCTTACACTATGGATTTCTTATCATTCTGCAAGCCAGCTTATTAATTGCTGATTTCCATTGGTTCCATCAACCATTCTACTCTTGGTCCTCCAAAACTATCAACAGGAATCTTGATCTTTCTTGTTTAGTTGTCTCTTCCTCCTCCCCCACATCTCTTCATCCGCCTGCCGGAGATTCTCCTGTGATCTGACCCATGATGAAATAATTCTCTAGCTCTAGTCTAGATCTTTACTGGAAGACTTTCTTCTGTGTCCTACCTTAGTATCTCCTTTAGGTGAATCTTTTAGCTGTCAGACTCAGAGATAGTCTTTGGTTAATTTTGACAGTTTCAATAAATACCAAGTAGCTTATATTACTAGATCCTCATGAGTACTTTTCTCTGAGGCTCTTTAATGCTACCCTTACTATTTCAGGAAACAGATATTGATTCAGTGCCCAGCAATAGTATTTTCAATTAATCTCTGGGCAAACATTCTTATTCTTTCCTTCCTTCTGCTATGGTTTTCCCGCAGATTCAGATGCCTACAGATAAACAAGCATTTTGCCCCAAGACCATAACCGCAAACAACTTGAATTCTAGACAACTAGAAAAAAGAAATGTTTATATGGGAGCCCTGAGAGGAAGTAATTGAAGCTGGAATTTCCAAAACACACAACTGGTGACTATTGACATTTTAGTAATAAGATGTGGAAAATAGGATTCATATTAATTCCAGCTTTAGATTCCACTAGCTTATGCATCTCCGAGAAATTCTGTGAACGTTAACCTGAACCAAATACCTAAATTACATGCTCATGCAAAAGAGGGAAAAAAGGAAAACAAAACTTAAATGGTTACATAAATTTTAATGAAGAGTTTTCTAGGATCAAGAAAAACCTGGGTGTATATGTGACACTAATACTTTCCAGAGATCTTTCTGGATCCTTAGGGTAGCTATCAAACCAGAAACTATATATTAAGTGCATAAGTTAGAGAAAAGTTATGTTTGAATATATGAGACACTGACGCAGGCAAAGTCTTTCTGTTTACCTGTTTAGATAAGTAAATATTGATTTATCATTGAAGTTTGCTGCCACTACAAATTTTTCTATTTATGATATACAAACTTCTTAGATGATCATTAGGCATCCCACACTGGGGTTAAAAAAACATATGGTCAGACTAAAATTTTATATTCATTCTAGCCATATCAGACTGCACTACGTTTCTCTCAAAGGATTACCCAACAAGGCTCAGAATTGGGTAACAGGAAGTATACAGGAAAGTTTCAGGAGAAAGTATCTTGCTTAGGTTCCAGCCTAAAAGGCTTTTTGGAAATAAGAATAGCACACCTTTTATTAGTATTATTTTATAATAATGATTTGTGTTCCAGTTTTCAAGAGTAACAGTCCACCCAAAGCAGCTTTTGAGTTGCAAGCAAATTCACCCTTTCTGACTGCCTATTGACAGCATGGGCCTATCATCACTTCCTGAGTGCAAGAACAGAAGACGTAAGTCTTCTTTCTATTTGCAGTTGTCCCTTGCCTTCCCACATGGTGTTGGGTGGTAAAGGCTTTGTCAGACATGCTATCTTGATAGGACTTTGGAACCAAAGCCTGACAATGTCATTCAGAAGAATGTACAGGCAGGCCTTCCATATGTAACAGGCCTAGATGGCTACATTTCAAGTAAGTAATGACAAGTAAGTCCATAGTCAGAGGGAAGAGGTCAAAATTTAATGAGTGAACTTTGGTATTGTGGGAAAGTTTTCCTGCATTCTGCTAAAAAATAATTTTTTTTAAAAAAAATGTACAGCTTATCTCTTCTAGTTTGTAAGAGGAAGTGCTTTTCACCTGTATCCAAATCTAAGAAAACAAGCTTCAATTCATTCAAATTCAAAACCATAATTTTCACAAAATGTGTAGTTCAGCTATCAATATTGTGATCAATGCATAGCCAGATAATTGGACAGCAAATAACATTAATTTCTAAATATGGAAACTTATTCCTTAATTTCTTTGTTTTTGTAAAGGACCCAGGAAGAAAAAATAGGGTGGTGAAGGAAAAATATTTAAACATTACATTTAACAACAATGATTTCTGAGTTTCTTGAAGAAAAGAATAATCTTAATGATGTCATACTGTTTAGACTAAAGGCATCCCATAGTTCTAATAATGCAAGTGGTTTTTCAAATTGAACCTGACTTCCAGTCCTAACCAGGCTGTAGGTTCACTTACTTCATAGGGCTCTACTACTGAAAATATATTTTGTAGTCAGCTTTGTAGGCCTTCACTATCCTTTTCCTTCTCCCCCCCCCTCGCCCCATATATTATTAACTATCTATGAAAGAATATAAAAATAAGTGGTACAAATGGAAGAATAAGCTACAGGTAGTGAAATACTGGTGGATAAAAAAACAATCTGAAATATCATAATATATTCCAATGCATCATTAGAAGCTTCTGATATTATAAGGTATTTTACATCAGTTTTTCTTATCCTGGTTGAACTTTAAGCAAAAAAATTCTTGGTTAACCCAGTTCAAATTGCTAGAAATATTGTAAGTAGTTAAAAAAAATACAGTAAATTAATACCATGAATGGTACTTCAAACTAAGATAGGAACTCTAAAATTCAGTTTTGGATGCGACACAATTCTATAAATACACTAATAGTGCGAGAATGATTTCCATTTAGAATGAAATCCTATTTATTTTTTGCATGCAAAGTTATTCTGTGGGAGGTATAATTTAATGAGTCATTCTTCTGAAGAGGGAATCAGAGATCTGCCTGTAACTGCCTGTGATCAATTAATTACAGTAGTGGCCAAAATTGTGGAAACCTTTGGGGAGAAGTGTACAGTAGAAATGCTACCTTTGGTTAAGTTTCCACCAATTTTTCTTCTAATTTCTTTATAACTGTAGCCTTGTTCACTTAATAATACTATTTTACATCGCTTTCTGGGCAACCAGTCAACTCACTAAATGAAAGAACAAAAAAAAAACCAACCAACTTGATAGCGATCACATCACACACTGACAAATGTCCTCCTCTCAGCTTCAATATATGACATCAATAACTGAATCCTACTGTGATCTGATTGGCTCATTGCCAAAACAAGATGACATCTGATTGGCTCTCTAAACCAGTGGTTCTCAACCTTTCTAATGCCGTGACCCCATAATACAGTTCCCCATGTTGTGGTGACCCCCAACCACTTATACATCACCGGGTGCCAGGAGCATGGCTAAAGAAAAGGGGCGGAAAATGGCGGACAGCCTTGTTTGGCAACCCCCGTGAAATGGTCATTCGACCCCAAATGGGGTCCCGACCCACAGGTTGAGAACCACTGCTCTAAACACTCACGCTCATTGGCTACAATCAGATGAAGGAAAGCTACCTGATATCAACCTAAGCAAGTTGTGCTTCCTTTTTCTGGTTATTTGGCTGTAACTTTTCATAGAATACAGTACAGATAATTGAACAAACTATGTTGCGTTACATTCTTGATTAAATTATCTTTCTATTAATATATAATTTTATGGTACTACTCCAAAAAGAAGTGGTGTTATTAGCCATCAAACCTCAAAAACACACATTTCCCAAAAGGTTTCCATAATTTTGGCCACTACTGTATAAGCACCACCACAATCGGACCAGCTAGCCATCTTCCAGGTTACCCGCTGTGTTTCAAAGATATTACTTTAATGGGAAGTAGGAGTCAGTACTTGAATCTAATCTCTGGATAAATATCTTTACCTACTAGTTAAAACTACACCAACCCTACTGGATTGACCTATCTAATATTGGCAGAAAACTACAAAAATTCTTGTGAAATAGCAGTATAAAGAAACTGAACATCTATGGTTTCTTCACTAATGCCCTCTTAACCTTAAGAGTCAGATCAAACTAGATCAATACTAAGGCAAAGGATCTTAGATATAGAAAACCAAACAGAAAATGCTGCCTTCTCTCATTATATAATTGCAAATAGCCAAATTTAATGCTGAAATCATTTTCATGTTTTTTTATCATATCACAGTTCCCCAATTCAGGGAAATTCAGAATCTATAGCAGTGATAGCAAACCTTTCAGAGACCAAGTGCTCAAACAGCAACCCAAAACCCACTTATGTATTGTCGGGTGCTGGGTGGGCATGGCTCATTGGGTGGGTGTGGCCCATTGGGTGGGCGTGGCTTCGGTGGTAATGGCAGACTGGATGGGGCTAAAAAATTCAATCAATCAATTCCAACTTTGTGAGATCTTTTTTTTCCTGTGAGAAGTTGAAATTGATTGATTGATTGAACCTTTTTTTTTTTTTGCACACGGCGGCGGAGGCCTAAAGCGAAAACCCAGCTGAAGGCCTAGGACTGGGGCGATGGTGCGCATGCCCACAGAGAGGGCTCTGCGTGCCACCTGTGCCATAAGTTCGCCACCACAGATCTATAGCTTGGTTTAATGCTGTCCCCACAACTGTCCTAAGAGGGAAATGCAAAAAAAAAACAAAAAACAAACAAAAAAAAAACAACAAAAAACCCCATATGAAACCCTATATTGCCCCTGTGATATGAGTGCCATAGAAACCATGTTCTTCATTATTGTCAGTTCTATAGAGATTTTCACTACTAGCTGATTATTCCTTTTTTATTTAAATTTCCAGGGCACTCTGATGATTTTTATTTGCACTACCTGTCGAATATTTAAGGTGAGTTTTTTTTCTAAAATAACAAAAATTTGCTACGTTATTTGTAAGCTTTGCTCACAAATGACTACCAATAGTTCTTCTTGTTAGGGGATAGTTTTATGCTGTTCACTTTATTGAATGAAGTTTTATTAGTCAGTGTCTGAACAAATAGCAATAGCACTTAGACTTATATACCGCTTCATAACACTTTACAGCCCTCTTTAAGCAGTTTACAGAGTCATCATATGGCCCCCAACAATCTGGGTCCTCATTTTACCAACCTCAGAAGGATGGAAGGCTGAGTTAACCTCAAGCTGGTCAGGATTGAAGTCCTTTCTAATAAAAGGTGTATAAAATCTTTGCAGCCATTAACATATAATAAATCTCCACTTTTATTATTAAATCCAATCAGATAATACTGAATTAGATAAGGTATGAACACTGTCAGTCCAATCAGGTGAAAGCAATGACCCTAAGTGGCCTTGAATCTGTTCTCTGAAGAAACTTTTCAAAACACGCCTTCTTATCAAATCTCTATGGCCAAATACCACCTGCTGTTCTGGCTGTTCCTGCTATAGGATCTGGTTTCGGCTGGGTGGATTAAATGTCATTTGCAAGATGTTCCACTATGGGTGACAACACCTTTGCATGATATTCAAGACTGTAGAACAGCCTTTCGTGCAGAGCTGTTTATGTCTGTCTCTCAATTTTTTAATAATTTCATATTGACACAGGAAGGCATTGCTTTTCATTGAGGCTGTGATCCAGGTGTCATTTTGCTCCTACCAAATATGAATACCAACTATCAGTGTTTCTAAAATGTCACTAGTGTACATTGATCTCTTTTTCAAGCAGGGAAAATTAGACGAAGGCTTTGCGATGAAAGGAGGAAAAAGAGGTTTTCTAATAAAACTTTTTTCTGAGATCTCCTGCCTACTATTGTGACTGTTATTTTATATAATCAAAATATATTCTCATTTCCTCCTCTCTATCCATGTGTGTATCTTATACTGGAATTCCCCACTAAGGTGCTCACATGGATAGAAAGGAAAAAGTATAAGGTAGGCATTTGTGAGCACATGATGAGAGAAAGGGAAAATCACCTGCATTTTCTAAATATTTGTCAGTGCGACAGTAACACATTTGTATCTGCCCTCGTATCTTTAATCTAATACTATGTTGGTATTTGATTAGAGAGTACTTGGATATATACATATTAAAATGGCATAAGATAAAGAAAGGCTGTTTACGTTTTCCTAAAATTTGTCAAATATTGTAAACTGAGGGGATTCAGATGCCGGCCCAGATTTCCCAGGAAAAAGGACTTAGGATCAAAGCAGAAAACTCAATGAAAATAGCTACTCATGTTCTAATTGCAGTGAAAAGGGCACTGTTCTAATTATTAGGAAAGAGCCTGTATAGTGTTATCATGAGATTCCATGATATAACCACAGAAAGTATATTATAGGCACTGGAAACAAAGTAATATGAAGCTGAGAAAGATAATATGCTGAAAAAGTTGGATCTCTTTCTCCAAATGAAAATTATGCCAAACTAGGAATGTTTTCATTCATAAAAAAGGATAACTATAGGGTAAAAGAGAAGCTTTTATATGTTGGCATAGTGTATCCTTAAAAAGCATTTAATTTTTCCCCACAATATTAGAGGTTTGGATTTTCCAGGAATACACAAAATCAAATTTGTATGTAGTCTACAAAGACATTTGGAGCAAGGTTTATTATAAAAAAGAAAAAAGGGGAAACAAAGTAGGGGGGGGGGAGAAAAAGAGAAGGGTGTTGAAATATTTGGAGCCACCATGTTTTTAAGTGGTGACAATGCTGTAACCGGAAGATTGTTTCCATTCATAGCTGGAATGAAAGTCAGATGGTTCAAATGGTTATTATTTGATTGGTTTATTCATGGTTTCTCTGGATGCAGCTTTCAAACTGTATGAGCATCAGTGTCCATAAGGAAAAATTTCCAAAACTGAATGTAATGCTATATTCTAAGACAATTAACCGCAGAAGGAAACAGTGGACTTCCAGGAAGGAAAATTAAGATTAAGCATGAAGAGAAACTTTGTTGATAAAAAGCTTGGCCAGAGCAACCTTAACAGGGGAAGTTGTGAAGATGGAACACATCTGCAAAAGAATCTTTAGATAAGGGTGGAGACTGCATTCCTTTAAGGGTAATATTTCAAGGACATTTGCTAGTGACGAACCTGGCAAAATTCTTTTTCCCTTCTTTAAGATGATGATCATCATACCCTCTTTTCCATTTTCTTTCTTCAGATAGCTTTTATGAAAGATGGTTAAGAATTATCTAAAGTTAAGATAATTAATTTGCAATTCATTTTCCTAACTCTATTATCTATGGCTGACTAGGACCCACTTCTGCCATTATCTTCATAGATTAGTTATCTATTAGGTGATACAACTGTGTGAAGAATCTCCTATGTATGGGTAAATATACAATGTACATAGTATGTACATAATGAGTGGATTTATGGAGCAAATATCATGAGCTCTTTTTTAAACTATATATTCACTGAACTGGGAATTAACTGAAAAACTTCATAGCATATTTGCTCTTTTAAGGAGTTTACAGCAAGAATCAAATTAAAGATAATTTACTAAACAATGCAGGAAGGAAAAAAAATCACAAGGAAAACCCTTCAATTCTTAAACCCCCACTTTCCTGAATAAATGCTACCAAATGTTCACCCATCGAAAGAAAAATTAAAAATTGACATCCACTATTTTAAGGCTGTCTCTGCACTAATCAAATGATGTTTTCTAACAACTACTAAGGACATAAATGGGATGAGTAGGATCAAAAGTTTCAAAATTCTTAATTTATTAAAAGAAGAGAGGGTAGGATAGCATATACTCTTAAAAGAATTAAAATACTCTTACTGGTATCTAAGCAAACCACCTGAAAAAAAATCCCCATTAATGAAGGATCACATGCAAAAATTCTACACTAGCTTCAAAGTACTCCTGGGGGTATAGGGAATAGAGATGATAATGGAGTACTCAGAGTATAAAACTTCAGTACATATATAGATGTTTTTAAAACTCTTTGAATTGGTGCATTTAGTCTCACAATTATATTAATCAAAAATTGCATGCAAGTATTTATTAGGGTTTTGGCAGTGAAAATTCTATTTTCCTGTAAAAATAGAGTCACACTCTTCATACTCTGAAAATTATTGGGAAAAAGTGCTTCAGGACTTGTGCAAGCACAGCATTTCTGTTATTCATTAAAGCAACCTGTCTTTTTATGATCTTACATGTGAAAAATAGTTGTGTCTGCTTTAAGAGTCATATTAACTTCAGTGAGTCAACTCCTTAAAGCAAGCAATGGCTTTTTAAAGGTTTTTCAGAGCCTGTATGAGGCTCTTCAAAGAGTATGAGACTCATCTTGAAGCTGACTGGACATAAGGTAGCAATGACTACTTTCAGTGTACACTACATCTTACTTGCAATCTATCCTGCATTCAACAAAACAAAACAGAGAGACAAGGATTTATAATCTTCTTCAGAAGGCACTTTGAGGATAAAAATCACTTGTCTTTATGCCAACTGCCATATGTTTTGAGAAAGATCGCTCTGATGTGTCTCATTTGGTGCAATTACCTAAGAACACTTTTCATTTGTGAGGTCTGAGAATGTAAGAAGGATGATTGGGACTGCCTAGCTTATTGTATGTTGTCTTGATCCCAGCCGGTCTTATGTTAGCTGGGTAGATTCAAAAAAAAAATGACTATATAATTACTGATATTCATTCACTGATATTCCCAGCCTTAAATAAAACTATGGAATGTCTACAACTGAAGAAACATTCCTAGATTTAGACAGTCAATTCTTACACTTGATCTTAGTCAAAAGGTCAAGAAGCCACACAGATATTGTTCAAATAGAAATATCCCTAGTCAAACCTGATTCAGCTGCACATGTTCTTGAAGGAGACTTATTATCTCAGTCGAGATTGTAGCCTCATTTAGGTGCACTGCCAGTCATATTCATCCTGACAGATAACCATTTGTTGGACAGAGACAAATTGATCCTTTTTTAATCTCTTGGTAACTTTTGGTACTATTGATCATAATATATTCCTGGCCCACTTTTGTGAGTTTGAATTGGGGACATTGGGTTACACTGATTCTGCTTCCATTGATAGGCAGCCTCAGAGATTAGCACCAAATGATTGTGTTCTGGTCCTTGGTGCTATGTTGTATGGAGAGGTTAATATTGTTTCATATATTGTATAAAAACAGGACATCATATGTGTTATGTTGACAGCAGAGTTGGACCAGAAGACAGATTAAGTGCCATTACATAGGGAAATAGGAAATATTTATTAGATTTATTTCCTGTTTCCATCCAAAATACTACTTAGTAGGTAACTGTTCCTTGATCTAACTTTTGACTGACCAGAACTATCTATGTGTACTTGGCTTGAAGTTCAATTTATCAGCAATCTTGTGAATCCTAGGTCTCAATTCATCTGACCCTTGAGTTTTAAACTCATTTAGAGCAAATAGGTATTTCATAAACATGTTCCATACTGGTTAATATCAAGCTTCTTGTGCTTTCCTCAACCCTTTGAAGAAGAAAGTTGTCAGTAAGGCAAGTTAGGAATTTCCTATTTAGCAGAGTTTATCTCTCACAGATGGTAAAGTAATTAAAGTCGCCCATCAGTGATACATCATGTTCTTTGAAAGATCTTCAGTTTACTTTTGGAAAATATTGTTCACATTTATTCCATGGTTGAGCAAACAATAGTTTGCATTCCCTCCTTTACTAGTTTTTATTATTGTGAACCACCCAGTGCTTGTATGGGCAGCCATACAAAACTTAAACTGACTTGGATACTCTCTACAGCATCATTAAGTTTGTTCCTTTGGATTTTTGAGCTGGCGTGGAGAGTTTTAGTGAGGAGTATATCATCTTTTCCCCTCCTGTTACTTCTGCTCCTTTTGAACAAAATGAATTCTTCAATTAATATTCTCTATTCAAAGGAGCTACTCCAACAAGTTTCTCACATCTTATGAAAGAATATTTCCCTTTCTCTATTAACAGTCCAAACTCAACTTGTATTTGTCTCATAATCTGAGCATTATAGCATGGACAACAAAGGCCACAAACTTTATAAGGCACATTTTTTACTTTTTCACTGAGTAGTTAATAGACCCCATTACTGTAATACCTTTCTTCTTAGATAGAATAGAAAACCAGAGCATTTGCTATGATCAACCTGCACTTCCTTGTACTAATAATAGCTGCATAGAAAATAGCCTTTTTTCATTGAAGGCCAAACTTTATACAGGATTACATCGTGAGTCTGAATTTAAAAAGTGTGTTAAAATATTTATTATTATGGATTTTCAAAACCTGGCTTATGTATTCTTTTTATTTATACTTGTTAATCATTCTTTTTAGATATCATAGGCTAATCAGGTACTATACTTTAGTAGTGATCTTAAATTGAGTTATAGTGAGTTATATTATTCATGCTTATAATAATAAATACTGTATTATTTTGTATCCTACCAAGTTATAGGCCTGTGACAAATAAAACTACTACTATTTTAATTGCCTATCATCAGCTGGTAGAGGTGAATCAAAGCAGTTATCTATGGGGCTCAGCAATCTATTTTTTGCTGCTCATACCTTAAAATTATTTTTCCTCTCTCTCATTAGGGTACATGTGAAAGAGAGGGAAAGATGTTCTATCATCTTTCACATGCTGAGTTCATTTTGGAGAGAGATGTGAGTGGCCACCATAGTACTCAAGTAGTACTTGAGTTACCACCGTCATGGAGTCTATCCATCATGATCATAACTCACAATGGTCATAAATGCAGCCCAATTACAGAGTGACCAAAATATGGTCACAAGACCAGCCAGCAGAACTTTGAATCTGGGTTGTAAGTTCCCCTCAGGTAGGTCTACTGGAATTCTGAACAGTCACTAGGGGACCAGTCATAAATTGAGGACTATATCCCGTAAGCCAAGTTGAAATCTATGATTTGGGTGGCTGAAACGATGAGTGGCTTCCAAGTTAAAGAATTTTATTCTCAGTACCATATTTCATTTTCAAGAACTCTGTGAGTGCTGTAGGTAAGGTGATTTCTATAAAGAAGATAGGTGCTGAAGAACTGGCTAAAGGCAGCCCTCATTGTAATAGAAGAAATGGATCTCTTGCTATTTGCCAGAGTTTGGCCTCTCTGAGAATACAGCTCCTAGCTGTTTTCGTCTGAATCCACACTTGTGAGAAATGTTGCATTCTAGTTACTAAGAAGATATACAAATCACATTTGTATTTATACGTGATAGCTCTTGAAAATGCAATGAATGAAAGTGGGAAGGGGTGCTTAAAGCCACAGCTACATCAAGTCTATGAATATTTCCAATAACTGCATTCCAGAAGTATTTTTGGAACCAAGAAAGTTATGTTGTTGTTGTTTTAATGAAGGCCACATTCTGAGGATATGCCACCATATGTCACATTCGTTTTTGTCCCGGAAAAGAAAAGGAAAGTATGCTAGGTTTTTAAGTGTTTTGGAAAAGTGTATTCACACAGCTGACATTATTGTTCAAATGGCTAAGGAATTCTTGATCTTTAACGCATCCAGAATGAGATGGACTACACTTCATGGGGCAGATATTTCACAATGAAAAATTGGAGTGTGGGGGAGCATTAATTGTTTTACTAACCTTTTTGGTAACTCTAAATTTGTAATCTCTGCTTGTAAAAATTATGTATGCAGGAAGCATAACACAGAGGGGGGTTGGGGTGGGGTGAGGTGAGAAAGAGAAAAATTACGAATGTGTCACTGAAGTAGGAAACTTTATGACTGACAAATGATTTGAGTTCAAGTTTCCATCATTCTCACCACATGAATTCTTAGGACAGATAGATTACTTTTTAGTAGCAACACAGATAGATTACTTTTTAATAGCAAAAGAAAGTTAAGTAAAGTAAAAGTACAGGTAAAGTAAAGGCAAAGTAAGGTAAAGTAAAGTTAAAGTAGTAAAGACTAAAGTAAAGTAAGGTAAGGAAAAAGTAAAAATAGCACCCAAACAGATGATACTAAAAAGATACAGGGCTGAAGTTACAGAACTGATTATACTACTTCAGACTATAAGTTATATAATTAGGTAGCAAGCAACAAAATTCCCTACAAATATAAACTTAATGTCGAAGCGAAAACAACATGAAAATGATGCACAAACAGCCTCTTAAACATTTTCTATTATATTTGTGAACAAAGAAATTGGGGAAATTATATTAACTTAATTTGTTTTTGCTATGTGTTTTAGCAACCAGATTACACTTAGTATATTGGGGTGAAATACAATGGCTGACTCCCATCTTTTTAAGTATCAAGGATACTTTTTATTGTAATCTAGAGGTTAGGATTTAAAATAAACCCAAGAGTTCCTAATGTGAGTTTTCTATTACCAAAGCCAGGGATCAAATGAAACCATAAATTAATTTTGGGTGAACGGCCACATAAGAAAAAATATTCTCTAAAATATGCATATGTGCATTGGTTTTAAATTTTAAACAATAGGTATTTCTGCTTTGTATATATTTGAGGGAAATCCAATACTTTTATGAGAGATTTGGACTAAGTTTTTCATTGGAGATACCAAAAACATGAGATGCTGACAGAGGTAAAATACATCTCAGTAGGTGGCAGCAAAAGTATGAACTTTTCTAGGTTTAGAAGGGAAGCTAGGTTAGACCTGCTTTATATCTATTTATTTTACAATATTTGCAAACCTCCCAACCAACCAAGAATCTGGGAGATAAACAACAAACCATGGATAAAACACCACCAGAATTGTAAAAATCATGACGTTCACACATATAGAAGGTGGGTACCTACAAATAATTTGGTCTAGAGGTATATAGAAATAATAGTTTTTTCACTACTTTGCAAAAGGCAAGGAGATAGGGAAAGCCAGTTCCATCACCTAGAGGCTACAATGGAAAATGGTTTGCTGCCTGGACCACTCTCCACATACTTCTCACTGAGAGGGATCTTTGGAGATTAACACCTGAAATCTCTAGGAAATAGTAGGACTATCAACTAGACTGGGGAATTGGAAACACATCCCAGTAAAGTCCATACAGTTGCTAGGGGAATTACCTGATTGTGTCCACAGGATTGTTGTCAAGCTTAGGCTGAAGGATACTTTGACCATGAGCATTGACTTAGCATCTCAGTCAGTTCAGATATCAGGTTAAAGATAACATAAAATAAGATCAAGAGGGGCAGCAAATGAATAAATCACTATCACTGGAAAAGGGCATTCAATTGAACACTATATATTGAGTTAAGAGTGCAGAGTAAAAATAATTATTTATTGTTTCAATCTCCCACTTAAGTTAGTAAAGATTCCACACATGGCTTCAAAAATGTAGCTGGGGCCCAACTGAAAATCTCAAGCCTTTGCTCTTTGTTTTTCTTTCCCCTCAGGTTATAAATGAAAAGAGAGGGACAGATCAACAGATGAATGACATAATTCAACGTATCTCCTAAACTTATTACAAAATACCAACTCGAAGCATGGCGGAGCACACCGATAAACTTATCAGCATGGAAGCAAATAAACTCAAACACTCACAGAGTTACCAGGAAACTACATCAGTGGGGATTAAAAGAATGCAAAAGCGATTCCTTCAGAAAGATGGAAGTTGCAATGTTTACTTCAAACATATTTTCGGGGAGTGGGAAAGCTACGTGACTGATATTTTCACCACCCTAGTAGATATCAAGTGGCGCCATATGTTTGTGATCTTTTCCTTATCTTACATTCTATCCTGGTTATTGTTTGGCTTAGTTTTTTGGCTCATTGCACTCCAGCATGGAGACTTATTGCCAGAAGAAGAAGTCACCCCCTGTGTAGACAATGTCAATAGTTTCACAGGGGCGTTCTTATTCTCTTTGGAAACCCAAACCACCATAGGCTATGGATTTCGCTGTGTGACCAATGAGTGTTCTGCAGCAATCCTGACAGTTGTTCTACAATCTGTGTTAGGCTGCATCATTGACACGTTCATTATTGGAGCTGCCTTAGCAAAAATGGCCACTGCCCGAAAGCGAGCTCAGACTATCCGCTTTAGCTACTATGCAACAGTTGGCTTACGAGATGGTAAACTCTGTCTGATGTGGCGGATAGGTGATTTTCGACCTAATCATATGGTAGAGGGTACCGTAAGAGCTCAGCTCTTGAGGTATGTGGAAGACAGGGTGAACAGGATGATATTGGAGTACAAAGACTTAAAATTGCTAAATGATCAGATCATTCTTGCTACCCCAGTGACCATTGTCCATGAAATTAACCAGGATAGTCCACTGTATGATCTTGACAGGAAAACTCTGGCTAAGGACAATTTTGAGATCCTGGTTACGTTTGTTTACACTGGAGATTCAACAGGAACATCACATCAGTCAAGGAGTTCCTATGTGCCTAGAGAAATCCTTTGGGGACACAGATTCAATGATGTGCTGCAGCTGAAGAAAAAATACTACAAAGTAAACTGCCTGCAATTTGAAGAAACCACTGAGGTTTACGCTCCTTATTGTAGCGCCAAGCATTTGGATAAAAAGGAACAAGAATACACAAGTTGTGATAAGACAACAAATGGAGAACCAGAAATCTCCTCCTCCTCCTCCTCCTCCTCCTCCTCCTCTTCCTGCTCCTCGGGAATCAGAATCAGATCATTTAGTGCTGATGCTTTAATTATTCATTCTGAAGTTTCTGGAGAGTCAATCAAAATTTCCAGTCCAGTAAATACAATGGAGCTGCCATATGACAGAGCTCTGGCAACATTAAGCAGAATTTCAATGGAATCCCAGATTTAGCAATCAATGACTTTTGCAGAACTATATAACTAACTATAATAGCTATCACGTTCACTTAAATACTAGTGGTCCTGATCCTCAAATGAAAGAAGAGATTTACTGACAAAATGTTAAGATTGCATTCTGACATTCCTTTTAATATATAACTAGCTGTTAACAGTTATCTTTTTCACAAATTATTACATTCTGCATAGTGACACTGAAAGTTGTTTATTGAAAATTCAAACTTATCACTGAATTCACAAAGAGATAATTATTTGAAAAAAATTATCACATATTATTCTACAATTTAGATATCTTTTGGAATTGATCTAAGTTTATATAATTTTGGAGATTGACAAGATGGTTATTTGTATCTTGTAGCAAAATTAATCCTAACCTTTGTTTCTTTGTAAATTGTTAGACTTTCTTCAATGTATACATTTTCTTTTCTTGTTTAAAATTACAGATTAAAAAAATGACTTTTTTGGAAATGAAAATACTAAGGATACGTGTAAACCATGAGGAGAAAATACTGATTTCACAGAAAAATGAAAAACAAGTAATTAATTTTGCCAAAAGCACCTTATATATTGCACTTTACATTAATAACTTAACTGTTACTGATCTGATATGGGGATATAAGATCAAATGTAATCAAGTCTACATTTGTAGTATTTTCAAACAGCAGTTTTTAAGTCATTCAATATTTCTGTAGAAAATATTAAAAATTGGTTCTGCCTATCTGAATTTTATATGGTACATTAATGCTAAACATGATTTTTAAAATTAATATATAAATATTTTTTCCTCAGTAGTTGAGACCATCTATTATTTTACTTTTCATTTTCAAGTACTTAACTAGATCAGGCATTTTGTTTTCTTTTTCTATTTTGCAACCTCAGCAAATGATCTATAAACCAGACCAACCAGTTCCTTTAAGTATAGGTTGATGGCTCTTAATTTCCATTACAACTATCCTTAAACTTGCTCTTGAAAACCTGGCTTGTGACAAGACCCCATTGGCTAATCAGTTTGCTGAAGAACTAAAACATACTTACTGAGCTACAACTGTGTATTTTTCAATTAGTAGGTCACAGATTTTTCTGGGCAAACATCAGATGTGGTGTTGGAGACACATGAGAATAATTGTTTATGACTACCTTTCCCTTAAAAGTGTTTAAATGTGAGTGGAAAACTGAAAATGTGGGCCACTGATATCCTTTGCAGTAGTTACGGATTTTGTTCTTTTTTAACTGAAAGTAGCAACTATTGTAAAATGAGAAAAAAAATCAGCACTAATTTATTCTTAGAAGATCAGTTTCACTGAACCTATTGATGCAATAGAGCTTTTGAATAAAATAGACATATTAAGGGTTGGTTGTACCTATTTTATTACCTCTTAGTTACAAAAAAAAAAAAAAACAAAAGAAAAACCTGAAACATTATTAATCTATAATAAGCCAGCATGATCTCAGGGGATTGTATAAAAATGGGACTTGGGGGATATACAGTAAGTGGTTCATGGTTTGCTTTTACCTGATTTAAACAGAGGGAAAATGCAGTATGTACGCAATGTCTAAAAAAATACTTGGGAAGAGCATTATCTATAGTAAGTAATAGAAAAATCTAAATTAAGAGGTGTCTTTAGTGTCCCTACATAAAGAGCTTCATGCTTCTTTAATGTAGAAAAATACCCAAACCAACATCACATTTCAAGGCGGAGTTGGGAAAGATAAAGGTAAAAGAACCATTTAGATGAGATGAATGATGTAGAAATGGAATTAATAAATGAATGAATAACTGCTAAGCCACTAGCTGTGCAAGTGATCCCCAAGATTCTGCAAGATATCAAGATTCTTAGAATACTTTAGATTGAAAGTATAACTTTTTATAATTATATCATTCTTTAAGGGAAGGAAGAGGCATAAGACCATTTGTTTTTACTATAGCAGGTTGACATTGTCGGTCCTGTGGAAGCTGTTGAAGGCATTCAGTAACCCAAATGGAAAGCTAACCAGCTTGGTAAATGCCAGACCACATAAAGAACTGGTATATGTGAAAGTGCTTCTGGGAAGAATGCTCTCTGAAATGAAGTTGAATCCATATGGAGGTTTCAAAATCCTACAATGCCTCTTCCAAATCATAGATCAGGTTCCACTTCTAGAGATGAAATATCATATCGTATCAGATGGACAGCTCCTGAGCAAAGTTCTGGAAAGGATATGAAAGCAGGGAAAAATAGACTCCAATGCCATCAGGATTTCACATATTGTCCTCAGTCTTATAATGCTGATGTAAAACTAAATCTGTGGTCGATATTTTGGGAGCCAGCTTTGCTTTCAGCTTCAAGTGGTTTACTATAAGTAGTAGTGTCAGGTATTTGAGCAGGGATCCTTGCATAAGGGAAGCAGTTCTGCTTCCATTCTTGCCTGAGGAGTTGAGCTGGACACAAGCCAGCTCAAGTCAGCTGCCTGCCTCAATACTGTTTACATCCTTTTTCTGTCTGTACTTGGGTCTCCACAATAGTGGTGTAGTTAGAAAGACATCAATAACTGAAAGTATATAAACAGGCAGTAATACTGCTTTTTAGTTCTGATGGTTCCCAGATTCAAAACAACAACATCAACAACAACAAAAACCCAGTGGGAACTTAAACTATGCTGGTAAAGTAATTTTCATTTTGGAAAGATGTGCCAGATCAGAGGAAAAAGTCCAGGTGTATCACCAGGAGCTGTTACTATCTCATTCTGGGTCCACGTTTATTATCTTTCACAGAGGAGAAAGCACATGATATGGTAACTGATATCAAAACAGTTAGGCCTATCAACTCTTTTCTCAAATGTTTGAAACTCAAAAGTTCTTGAGAATTTTTTAACATAATTCCCCAAGAAATGCTAGCAAGGAGATACTTATCATCCCCAAATACAGCCCATATTATTTTAAAATATCTGGATATTTGGATTAAAACCTTTCCCCCAAAAAACCAATACTGATTGAGCATTTCAGAATCCACCGGCTGCATTGAAAACTGAGCTTCCTCCAACATTTATAGATCCTTTCTGCAAAGGAACTCTGACTCCTTGAAGACCCAAATTAAATTTCTTCTTCTAAATAAACCTGGCGTGACTGTCACCTTCTTAACAAAAATGAGATCCAGGGATAAAGCTTCACTTGCACCCCCATTCAACCCTGTAGTTTTAAGTATATTGCAAGAGGTTCAGAGCTGTGCATCACTAATGTAGCTGTGTTTTCATTATAGTTCATTTGCCATCTTACCTAAGTCTTGGTTTTCATCCTGTAGCTCTTCCAAAGGGATGGAATGCAAGCAAATAGCCAAATGCCCTCACTGAACCCCGTTTCCTTGCAGTCTCCTGCAGGTGGAATATTTGGGGTCATCAGGCTGCCACCTTGTGGCTTAAACAAATAGAGGTTTTAATGAGTGAGGAACTGTTAGCATGTCATGCGTAAGGAAGCATTGCTGGGAAGCGCTTGCAAGTGGAAAAAATGCCTCACCGCATTTCTTGCTTCTTAATTTGCAGAATATTACACATACTGGAAATGCCATTTAAACAATAACAACAGAAGCTTTGGTCACATGATATGAAAAAGATGTCGAGACTCTGAAAGAGTGCAGAGAGAAAGCAACAAAGATGATTAGGGGGTTGGGGGCTAAAACATGATGAATGGTTGCAGGAACGGGTATGTCTAGTCTTAATAAAGAGAAAGACTAGTGGTAACATGATAATAGTCTTCCAGTATTTGAGGGACTGTCAACCTCTTCCCCAAAGCAATGTATGAAGGAGAGATCCAATTTAGAACTAAGGAGAGATTTCCTGACAGTGAGAACAATTAACCAGTGGAACGGCTTGCCTCCAGAAGTTGTAAGTGCTCCATCACTGGAGCTTTTTAAGAAGAGACTGGACAGACATTTGCCTGGAATGGTCAGCACTAGATTAGAAGACCTCCAAGGTGCCTTCCAACTCTTCCAGCTCTCCTAAACTATGAGAACCTGATTGTCCTAATCCAAATTCCCTTTGAAAGGCTCAACCAGAATTATGTAGTTATTATAATTTATTATAACCTACTGGTTTTTATGTTGAGCAGAGAAAAACATATCTTTGCTCAACATATATTTGTTCTTTGGCCACTCCATATTCCTTATATACTTAACTGCCTGGTCAGCTATACTGCTTTTCAATCCCTTTATCCATTTCTTTCATTGAATGTTTAATTTAAATTAGGGAATCAATGTCAGAACAGATAGTTCTTCACCTTAATTTTACTTGTACCCTTTAGACTTGGTCCATCTTAAGTCCCCTAAAGGAAACACTTAACTTGCAAAAGCACGAAACGCCAAGTAGGCAGCAAAAGGCTTACATTGGAGATGGCAGAATCTCATGAGACATCTCCTGCTGATAACCTAGCACGGGACCAAATAACCTGTTGTTTTCCAGTTATATTATACTGTAACTTCTACAATCCCTTGCCATTGCCTACCATGCCAGGGACAGAAGGAAGGGGAAATCCAAAACATATGGAAAACATGAATTTGCTTAGCTTCAAATACGTGAGAACCGTTGTCAGGGGTGGAAATATGCTGCTGCTGATATACCATGTGGGTTTATATCCATCTCAGAAAGCATGGCCAATAACCCCAACTCCGTTGTTAAAAAATGCTGGCAGCCTCATTTTTAGCCAGGGTTTATGAGAGAGGGTATTTAATTCTGAAAAGGGTTGAAATAATGGGAAAGTTTCTGAATGAGATCCTCCCAGTTTGTCTTAACTCTGCTGTCTGCTAACTCATTAATACAGTGAGCGTTTTCCTCTTACAGTATGAGGAAGAGGGAAGAGTATGAGCAAGAGGAAGAGGGCCTTGGGCAGTGGAAGGAAGGAAGAGAACAGCAGAGTGACCAATGTTCAGGGTAAAGCCTAAATCTCTCACTTGGTTCACTGGAAGGCCCCCACCTCCATGTCTCTTAAGTTGCTGAATTTCACATAGTTATTTGTATGAATGTTGAAATCAGTCCAACATTTTAGCTGACAGGTAGCAAGCACCTCAAGAGTCTCATTTGTATAAGCCCAGAATGATACAGAGGTCAGCAGACTCTGCTCTGAACAGGATTCCAATTATCTGCTTAAATCCGTTTTTCTGTTCTACTAAACTACCCTTACAAAATCCCATTCATTCTCCTCTCTATCTCCAGGTGTTGCTTTAAGTGGATTTTTTTCCTTCATTAAGAGGCAAATGGCAGCTGGATTCATAGATTCATTCAAACTATGAATCAATTTGTTTAGTTTTGTTTTAGGGTGAAGCATGAACCTATCTACTGGAAATAATATGCTTAATTGTCCTACATTGTCAAATAACTGCTTTTTGAGATAAATCACCATCACCATCAATAGCCTTAAATTCTGACAGTGTATAGATGTGATAAACAAACAAAAATGCACATAGAGTACTAGGCTTTACTAAATAGTGATGAAGATATCAAATCTTGAATCCTAATTGCGTATCTTCACCACTGTTTTTATGTGTACATACACACAAATACACATACACACACACCCCGACCTACCTACAGAAGCATGCATGGTGACAGTATTATTTGACTAAGGCTAGATGCACAGCAAAATTACACCAGTTACCCTCTACAAGGAACATTCCGAAGACAGCAGCTGTCTATGTTGTGGCACAACATAACTCCACCAAGGGGATATCCATTTCAAGAAACTAAATGCTACCAAGCCATTTACGTTTGCACATACTCGGTGTGTGGTTGAAGAAATGTTTTAGTATTTGGGGGGCAATTATCTGAAAAAAAAATATCACATGATTTTTCGTGAAGTGATATGCACAACAAACTCAGAGGTAAACTCTTCCTTTATTAAATACATAGCAGTGTTTTTCAATCTTGGCAACTTCCATTTGTTTTATTCCCCAACCAGAATTCAAATGCTGAGGGATTTGGGGAATTGAAATCCACACATCTTAAAATTTGAGTTTGAAAAACATCAATATTTAACATCACCACAGAAAAAAAAATAACGACATTGATTGTGGCTAAAATATAAAGTACCGCTTCTGATGCTCACTATAGAACCTGGACCCAGCTAAAGGGCAATAGCCGTATATGCTTATGTGCAATAAAGATATTATCAAAGATAATGGAACAGAAAAATGCTCATCTTCTATTTGGCTGCCTACCTTCTTATTGTGGCCTCCAGATGAACTACAGCTTTCAGAATTCTCTTTTGGCCTGCCAACAATATATTTTTACTCCTGGAAAATAAGTCCCTAATGATCAGGTTACATGGATCCAACAGTTACTTTAAAACTCTGACCATGAAAAACAAATGGCAACATGCAGTAGGTAAATAGGAAAATAGGAAAATATCAACTTCACCAAGTGTTTCAACAGGAAACACCCCAACA